TTCATTTTGCCTTCCGGTCATGTGTTCTGCCAATGACTCCTCATGAAGGCTGTTCACATTGACAGTGATTTAACCGCTGGAAGTTGGCAAGCTACTGTACTTTTTGTTCCATGTCAGCAATCCAGTACAACTGCTGGAGGTGGATCATGTGAGCACCGCTATTTAAACTCTCACATCACATCAGGATTCATTTGCATAATGCATCAAACCCAAATGTTGCATAGAAGTTGCTTAACGTTTCGTCACCAATGGTGTCATTCTTCCTTAAATCGCCAACTCTCTTTGAAAATGAAGGAATTCTCGTATTCTCTCTCCACTCTTCATTTTACAGGAGGAGAACATTACTTCTCTCACATATTAAATCTAACTGCCCAGCTAAACACTTCCACACAGTTTGTTTGGGTTAACTGATTAAGTCAATCAAATCTTTCCACAATCTAACTGGTTCACGCCATGCTTGTTCCACAAGCAATGGGCACTCACACGACAAGTGGCCTCCCTTGCACTATCTTGGCTAAATACCCTGTCCATGTATAATGGCCACCAATAATGGTCACAGACGGTCTGCAAATAGGCCTGAATGGGTCAATTAGATGCCAAATAATGGACTAAAACAGTTTTAACAAATCAAACCCAACTAAAACCACTTTCATATAAAGAGATGGTTTTTAGCAAACATTCAGCTCAGTCCAATAAAGTATCTTACTACTTTACCTGAGATGTTTGTGAGTCTTTGTTGACTCATGATCTGAAATAAATTAATAAGACTTTTAGTACTTTTAGTATTAAGACTTTTAGAAACAAACAAAAGAAACTGTGTGCATTAAATGAAAAAAAAAATGTGTATAAAAGAAATGTGTTACATGTGAAAGTTATTTTTAAAGCAATGTACAAAAATAAATAAAAATGCAAAAACTTTCATGAGACTTACTCTGATGACTTTAATGAGGTTAAATTGTTCAAAATTGAAGTACAGTTCAAAAGTTTGGGGTCAGTAAGATTTTTTAAAGGAATTAATACTGTTATTCAGCAAGGATTCATTAAATTGCTCAAAAGTGGCAGTAAAGACATCTATAGTTTACAAAACAATTTCAAATAAATGCTGTTCTTATGAACTCTCTATTAATCAAAAAATGAATCACAGTTCCCAGAAATATATTAGACAGCGCGACTGTTTACTTTTAAAAAATAATTAATTACTTATTACTAATTACATCATCAATATTGTATTTAAATTACTTTTATAATTACTGTCTAAAAAAAGTAACTTTAATTACTCAATAAGTAACTTAATCATTCGAATCGTTAATTACTTCATAAAATCCCTATAAACCTTGATGCATAGAAATGAAATTCTTAATTATTTCAGTTTGAGGTAAACATGGAATAGTTTAGCATTTTAGCTTTAAAACAACTGTAATACTTCAGCATTTTAATAAAAAATGTAACCTTCTTTAGTTAACAAACAGAATTACTCTGCAAAATATCCAAATAACAAAAAAGCTTAAGAAAAGTACATTTTTAAGTAACTTATATAAATGTGCCAGAAGAGAAAATTACTGGTGCATCTTGAGATAAAACAATGGAACTGACATATTTTAAGGTATGTCAGTGCAAGTTTCTTTCAGTTAAAACAGCTCAGAAATTAATTTAATCTGGGACTAGACTTCAGGATTGTCTGTGAAACCAGAGGTACATGTATGAAGCTGTAAGCATTAAACTTTTCAAAGCAATTAGTACCATATTTCATACACACTGACATACTGTACATGTATACAACATATCATAGCATATCATATTTCAGCATATTTTATTCTCTTTCACACATTTCAGTTTGGCAAGTTAAAAAAGAAAAGCACAACTAGTAAAATGCGTACAATTATGTAGCCTAAAACATAACACGTTAACTAATGTAAGAAATGATCTTCTCGCTGAATAAAGCCGCGTCAGATCGCGCTGTTCTTCTGAGGTAAATTCCGGCTTATTCCTCAAGTCTTCTTCCAAAAACAATGACAAGTAGATGAATCTTGATTTTTTTAAATCTATTTTTTGTATCTAGGTGACAAGGGCGTTTGCGCACAGGTATGGCTGCAGATAATGAGCTCAGACGGGAAAGACTGTTCCTCGCTTTAGTTTTATACGGATTACATAATCAGAGAATATTCATTTTCGATTTGAATTGGTTCATTTAAAAGTAGACACTTCAAGTTTTCTATAGACATATTTCTCACGTCTGTGTGTCAAGTATTCGCCGAGTTTCGGTTTGTTTTTGTGACGCGTTTCAGAAAGAAGTTCACGGAGATCAAAACAGCAGAAAGCGCACCCTGTTTTTGTTTTGTTTATTTTACAAAAGCACAATGTTTTGTTGTTATTGTCAGTGTACACAAATAAAAGTATACAATTTATAGATTCGATTGATTATAGTCTTATCTGTATCTGGGTATTTTAGGTCCTTTTCTCTCTTATCAGGAAAAACTGCAAGTGAACGCGCCGGCACGCAGAGGGTTAAATACGCTGCATTCAATTTTACCTCAAGACTTTAAATTTTGATTTCAAATTCAGTATTGATTTTAGAACTGCTGAAATTATTTACAGTATGTAACGCAAATACTTTATAAGTAACTGTAATTAAATTACCTAAAAATGAACAGTAATCCCTTACTTTACTTCTTTCAGTGGATAAGTAATTTAATTACAGTAACGTATTACACCCAACACTGTTGACAACCAACCAGTACTATAATATTTTTTAATGTTTATATTAACACTTTATATATTTATATATTTGTCAATAGTCCCAAGTGTAAGATACACGATTATATGGTCGATACAGTCGATAATTGAGCTTTTTTTTAATGCAGAAGTCATTCCCCAAATCCCAAACTCTCGTCTCTATCTATTATGTGTCTGTCTGTTTCCTCTCTCTCATTCTAATTTGTCTCAACAGCTCTTTCTCTTTCTCTCCAGCCTCCCTTCGTCCCACTTGTCTGTAAATGTTTTTAATTAGCTGACTACGACCCTGATGACAGTGTGATGAGGAGGAAGAATGAGACTCTCTAATCGCTGTAATTAAACAACATGCCGCACAAGAGAGAAGGAGGGAAGAGACCTTGGCTCTCTCTATTCATACAGATGAAGTGACCGAGAGAGTGAAAGATGCAAGGAAGAGAAAAATGGAATACTGTTGGGAGGGAAAGTGGGAAGACTGTACATTTTTCAATGGTACACTCTTAAAAATAAATGTTCCAAAAATGTTTTTCACAGCACTGCCATAGAAAAAATATATTTGGGTTCTGTAAAGAACCTTTCAGTGAGAAGTTCTTAAAATAAAATTTTTTTTCCTAGAGTGAAAAATATTTTCATAATCTAATGTTACGTCCAGAGACGCGTTCTTTATTGTTATGGGACATTACAAATGCTGTGTTTTCTTGCATTTGTGTTTCTCTCTCAGTTTTCCCTTTGGCTCCTCCTACTCAATCCATCTGGCAGGTAGCTGATTGATTGCCCCCAGCTGCGGCTGCTTACCAGTCAAGAGAGAGGCAGCACAAAAGCAGAGAAGAAACTTTTCCCCAAGAACTTTCCCAAGAGCATTGTTTTTGTCCTGCACAGTCCCCAGTTGGTTGTTGCAAATTACATTCTTGCTGTTGAACTATAGTTGCTTAACTTTCTACTCTTTGGTATTGTATTGCTTGTTTTGTTTTTTTTTATCTATTGTGGCGATTGTCTCCAACGTTTACATTTGCAGTTAAGTGTGTAGATTAATGTTATTTACCTTTATCAGTTTATGTCCAGTTTATTAGTTACTTTACTGATTGTTGGTTTGTTTGTTTATTTGGAAGCTGTAAGGAGGTGGGTGCCATTTTTGTTTAACTGTTTTCTCCTGTTTTGGGGCTAGGAAGGGAGTTAGTTTTTTTTTTTCTTTGGTAGATTATTTAGAGGTTTTACCTCAGTTCGATTACTTTGTTATTTTGGCCTTGCCCCCTCCTGAAGCCATTGCTTCCCTTTGAATTTTTATTTATTACAATACCTTTTCTCTGTTCCATGAACTGTAAATAAAATTCTTGATGCTAATTTGTTTGGTTGTGGTGAGGTGGCAGGGCTCAGACTAATGCTCTTTATTTAATTTATTTTTTAATGTCCTCCTATATCCCTAGACTCATGTGGGACGTAACACGTAAGATCTTTTTTTCCACTATAAAGAACCTTTTGTGCAATGGAAAGGTTCCATAGATGTTAAAGGATCTAAATGGAACCATCAATCCCAATAAAGAACCTTTATTTTTATAGCAGTAAGAATGTCTGTTATTTATAAAGCCATTTAAAATTCAATAGTTATATTCAACAGCTACAGTTGACTGTACCAACAGAATATATCTATATACTTTATATAAAGTTATGATTGGTCAATGACAAAAGATTTTTAAAATTAGGAATGATGCGGGAAAAAATTCTTTAAATGTCTAGTTTAAAAAACGTGCCAAGTTCTAAGAAATGCAATCTTCATTCTTTATATGAAATTATTAAAAATAATAAAGTTAACTTTTTTGGGGGGGTTTCACACGTGAGACTGCAGCCAGGGTCCTTCTAAACTATGAGTAAACGAGTAAAAATTATTATATATAATATATTTTCCAAACACCACAGATGTTTGTGCACATCCTAATCATTATTTTCAATAAATCAAAAAAAAAAAAAAAAAAGACTTGCCATTAGTATTTTTAAAAGAAAATATTATTCCAAACTACTTAACCCCCTTTTTTCTTTGTTACAAAATCAGGTGGTTATACCACCCGGACAGTTTTGACTTTATGCCTACAAAAAACATAAAAATAATTTTGAATATAGAAATGGAAAACTTTATCACAGAAAAGGTTCATTCAAGAGATTTTAAGTATGAATTACACTGCATTAAAAAAAATAAGGCATGTCACTGACCCTTAAACCCATTATTAAAACTACAATAATAGTAGTTGTTTTGCCAGGTTTTAAGGTGCTCGTACCTGTACTGTTCTGGATGGTTCTAACAGTAGTTGTATTTCGAGGTGGTGAGATGGCTTGACGTGTCGCTCTCTCCTCTTCTTCCTCCTGCGAGGAGCCCTTTTCAATGGCCCGCACGTAACTGTGGCTCCTCATGCGGAAGCATCCGGACCCCGGCAAATCCAGAGCATCCACAGCCTGAGACTCCATTTCACTGAACACACTCTCACACACGGCCTCGATCTGCCCGTTCACTTCCACCTCGCTCACCTGCAGAGGGAGACAACACATCACCACATACTGTCATATTACCCCTTTACCCTCCTGTCATGGGATAGTTGCATATTTTTAAACACTCCTGACTGAATGAGCAGCTTTCAAGATGTTAGCTCAAGGCTTACTAATGTACAATGACTTTAAATCATTGTATTAAGAAGGCAGAGGATTCTAGTGAGATCATAAGAAGTTCTGCAAAGCTCTACAAAAACACATTTGACTTTTCACGCTAAGTTTGGCCCTGGATTAAGGTGAGTTTTAACCCTAAGCAATATTTCATACATTTTGAAAGATGTATAGCATGACTTTTAGTCCTGAGTTATGAAAACCTGTTCAAGAATTGCAGTAGGCATACTAAAGGTATGGTATGGTATGATGACACCACGAAAGTTAACCAAAGATTAAAATGAATAATTTCTAATTTGAAAAACCTAAATGTTTTTATAATAGTCAGTCATTATAAAAAATTTATTCACTTTTAAAATGCAAAAGTATTTTAACATAATATATACGTTTGATTCATTCATTACTCCATTTTTATTTGTATATAATATAAATTGTATTATTTATATTGTTTTTTTAGATATACTTAGAATACAAAATTTTAAAACGTAAATAAAACAGCATGCATGAATAAATTATAAAACTTATATATTGTTATTATAATTTAACTAAATTAATATAATTATGTTAATATATGATTTAAAGTACAACAAAAAAAGTACTACACAGTGGATACCTGCATTCACAATCTAGGGTCCTTTGTTGCCATATTAACCTTTTTTTAGTGTTGGAAAAATGTCTTTTATTTCCAGAAATATGTTTAAACATCAAGCAAAAAATGTTACAAAACACAAAAGCAAAAAGCACAAAGAATAAAAAACACAAGTGTATCAGTGTTTAAGAGAGAAAAAAATGTGATGTTAAGGGTGATTTTTCTAAACTTTAACATAGATTTACTTCTAATCAACTTAATCACATTGTTTCAGCTTAAAATGTCATGACACCCTAAATACCAAAATGAGTAAACACCATAGTCGGAATTAGTAATAGGTTAAATATTGATGTAAGATCAATTGTTCGGGGATGTGCAAATGTGCAAATTGTGAATCCTGAGATGTCATTTGTCATGTAGGCTCAGTTTAACCCTCTAACAGCCAAGCTGCATCTTAAATAATAAGGGTTAAACACACTAATACAGGCAACAGGGGAAAAAAAGAGTGCAGAGGGGAGGAAATCTGTACAAGTGAAAGCAAAATCAGGTGTGGCTGCATCACTATTGCTCTTTCTATACTACAGCAGTGAAGCTGAAGAAGTGTGATTTAAGGTTGGAAAGGAAGTGGAAACCATGTTTTGAGAATTATGTGACTGGAGGACTAATAGTGAGTTGTGATTGGAGGATAGACAGCAGAGTGTTTGCCATTGGCTAAAGGAGACTACAGGGAGGCAGGCACTAAGATTTGCAAATCATCTAGTAGCAATAAAACCCCCAAAACCCATAGAGAAACACACCTACACCAACACATATGTATGCATGTACAAACATACAATGCCCACACATTCACTATACACATGAGGGACCAATGAATGTTGTTTTTTTTGGTGAGCAGACTGAGCTTTTTGTCACCAAAATGATTGATGTATCCTAAGGGAGCAGAAAGGACACACTTTCACACATATGCCTGAGGGCAGTGTCTTTTTTCGCGGGTGGGAGGAAGCAGCTCTCTAAAAGGTTAGGGCTGCTCTCTGTCTGAGTGAGCTGTCAGGCTCTGAACACTCACCTTAAAATTGTCCCGGTTTTATTCTCCTCCCCATTACACAGCTTACTATTGCAGCCATTAAACTAGTTCCATTTTGTTTTTAATGGCAAAGTGGTTATATTTATTTAAGTTTCTTTATTAAGGTAATTTAGGAAAACAAGTTTTTGTTTTTTAAAGTGATGACCAAGCGGCCAGCTGCAGACAGTGAGTTGATCACGTTTGATCAATTTAGCCTTCTCAAATCATCACTTGACTTGCCTACAATAAAATCCATAGATATAAAACACTTCAAGCATATCACAATGTTAGTTTAAACGTTTAACCTAGATAAATGTGCGCTGTCAGGTGCAAAGCCAAGTGTTTGTGTGGAGTGTGGAAGCTAAAGCGTGCTTAATGTATGCAGGGCCGTCCTTAGCTGACGCGGGGCCCGGTGCGAGGTAGGGAGTGGGGTCCCCCTCGGTCCGTTCACAATCGCGTTCCTTGGTCCCCCTCGGTCCGTTTGCGATTGCCTTCTGGGGGGGGTGTCCCCCTTGGTCCGTTCGCTGCGGGGTCCGGTGCGACTGCACCTGTTGCACTCCCCTAAGGACGGCCCTGAATGCATAGAGGCTATAGGCTACTTGCCTCATAGACATGAGAACACTAGTTTATTAATAAATAATTAAAATATCTCCTTACTATTTTCCCGACACATTCATAGTCATTAATACTTTTGCTGGTGCTTTGCGGCAAGATTTATGCCTATGCTTGCGCGCGAATAGATTAGCTAGCCTATATATATCAAAAGGCTCATTATGGTTTAATATATGTTTAAGTAATTCAATTAATATAAACGAGCGATCAGTCGAATAATGGCTGAAATGAACGACTCGAAAAATCTTTAGTCGGGGCAGCCGTAGTTTTAATCTAGTCCTCTTTTCTTCTATAACTCTTCCAGCTGCGCTGAAGGCACACTCGTTGCTATGCTGCTGGCAGGGACACTAAACACCGTGCGAGCCGGTCTCGACAGTCGCGGACACGGTAGCATGGTCTTGTGTTGTTTCTACCAGCGCAGCGCATCTTTTCCATCACCTTAACTGATGAAAGTCTAAAATATAAAAAGAAGGAGACGCCTAAAACAGGCCCGATGCCCGGCCCACATGTGAGCTATATTATGTGAAAATTGGCCCAAAGCCCGGCTATAGGGGGCGTAAATAAGTCGTGCCCCATCGGGCTTGGGCTGAAATGCAGAGCTCTACAACAGCCCATTCTGACAGAGGAGAAGTTAAATTCTTTTGCTAGCATGTACTTGTTGGTGATGGGGAAAATATACTTTTGAGTAGTTTATTAGTAAGTCAGCAGTATTGGGACAAACTATTACATCATAAAACTGCATCTTGACACCACATATCCTTTTGTTGCACACAATCAACTGCGTCTGAAATTGCATAGTGAGTCGGTACTACATTTGATAAAGCACTTACTTTGTGACCGTTAAAAAGTTATGTTCTGCAATATTATGAATGAAATTTCCCGGATGTACTACATTCTTCATGTGTCATGTGAGTTACGGCATCAGTTGCATCACTTATTGATTACAGATGATTATTAATCATGTAAACCCTTTTACTTCAACCCCTCTACTTACACATAACTGCCATTTTTGTAGTTTAAAAAATTAGTTTGTAGTTCTAAACAAATCTGTGTCCACCGTTAGAGTGTGCATGTATCTGTAATTCAAAATTTCACCGGAAATAGAAAAAACATCTGGGTACCTTTGAGATATTCATTTCAACATACTACAATTTTGGGGAAACACTATTTCTGAATAATAAATAGGGCGGATTGCATGTGAATTGGGATGCAGAAAGGAACTGTGTTTGGATATTTCTGTAAGCATCTAGCCAACTCTTGCACTGTCTGATATGGTAATCATCTTGGACTTGTACTGACATCTAGGTGTTTGGAGGCAGCATTACACAAAAATGCCAGTTTTAGTTACATATGACATTGTAGAAATGGTCTATTTGCAGTTAGTCATGATTAATTTATTCTGAGTAAAAGTGTGCAATAACAAGAGGGTAACAGAGATAAAGTGAGTAGTATACAGCTAGTCATGTGATCTCAAAATGGTGGCCTCCCTAAGGCGACCCTCTCCCATGTAAATGAAACAGCTGTAAATAGGCTACTGAAATGACTATAGTTTTTGATATGACTGAAAAATTATGAGTGAACAAGTTTTGGGGGGTACATTTTTTTAATGAGGAAAATGTGTAAAAGTGAACTTTTAAGTTTATATATTTAAAACAGCTGTGGCAGCTAAAAAGTATACTTTGATAAGGTACAATAAGGTATGCGTACAGTGCATGAGGCATAAATTTCATCAAGGTAACAAGCACATACTGTATGTGCAATGCCAATTTATTTTTAACCGCGTGAACTACTCAACTCGCACATGCACCTTGAATTTTATTGTTGCACTGATTAATTTGTCCAAAAGGTGGCAACACTGAGCCAATGTTTCACAGCAAAAAATAAATAAAAAATTATTAATAATAAAAAAAGAAAATAATAAATAACACCAACAAACTACTAGAATAATGGAATAATGCCAACAAACGACTATAATTAATATAATTAATTGAATCTGAATAACAGTAACAAACTACTAGGATAATGGAATAACACCAACAACCACTAGAGTCAGCAACAATAACAGACACCCATGTTAACGAACGATTGTGTGAGTTGGATAAGAGATACTCATGGCTCTAATTTGAACGAGTACAAAAATATTTTCATCAGTCATAACTTCTAGAGGGAAAAAGCACATAAAATGGACAAAGATTAAACTTTTTAGTGTGCATGTATCGACCGCCTATGTACGCTCATGCTATCAAATGGCATTGTGTTCAGCTGTATACGTTCACTATTAATTGTGTCAAAACTGAAGTATACTTGGGGCTTTAGCCTTATTGTCAAGAAGTACACTAACTAGGGCACCTTTAACACAGTATTCACAAACATACAATTTGCGATGCCAATCCTAATCATCCATACCATACTGATAGTACGCAAATTAAACTTCTGAATAATGCATGGATCAAAAGATGATAATGAGATGATTCTATGAGATGACCAATGGAATTGAACAAAAATTGAGTACTTGAGCAAAAATATAGCTTCTTTTCGTTTGCATGTTTTCCTCCCCTTTGCAAACCTTCTTGAAGGCTGACGTTGAGGAAGGCTCTGGTTGGAAATCACCTTTAGGATCTGATCCAGGCCCAGTTGTTGTTTCCCACTGGTGTAAGATCAGTATCTTAATGGTGATTTCCACCAGAGAACGAGGGGCGATGACCAACCTGGCTGATGGTGCTCATGGCCCTCATGTAGCTCTCGTTTCGGGAGCGAAATTTGGGTGAGGCCAGCAGACCTGCCGGGTCCAGACTGTCCAAACTGCGGTTGATTGAAACCTCACTCACCGCTCGCAGGTAACTGTGACTCCGGATCTGCAGCTTGGGGGAATGGGACTCCGTACTGATCCTGCAAACAGAAAGAGAGCGAGAACAGGTGTACATTTAATGAGGGATGAGAATGAAATGAGAGTTGAGGTTACTCCTGTAACACACTCATTCATCATGTTCCTTTGTTTTCCTCCAACAGAGATCTCACACTCATTACTGTTGACCTAAAAACAACTCGACCTGTTTATGTGTGTGCGTGTGTGTTTTAGTGTACTCTTCATATATCTGAGACCAATGTAAACATGAACTCCTCACAATTAGTACTAGCATTCAACTGTTTGTGTTTACATGTGGATGGACAATCAGGTCCTTGAAATATGAACACAGAAACATATTAAAGCGCACAAACACACATTCTATCCCTTCCAGGTCGAGTCAATCTTAATTATGGATGTGGCTCTTAAAATAGTATGCAGTTACAGCTAGAAAAAAAAACACACATTAGTCATTCTTCACTGGAGTGAGGAATGTAGAGAGAGAGAAAGAGAGAGGGAGTAAAAGAAAAACAAAGAGGGAAGACTGCAGGAAAAGTACACAAATAGATTTAGAGGAAGACGACAGTGAATGAAATAAATTAAAGCAGCAAATTATGAAAAAACAACAACATAGTAGAAGTTCGCTGAGGTGTACTATGAGAAGGAAAGCATACAATTATATATTGTGGAAAAAATAGGACAATGCTCATTTATTCTCATTATATGCTGTTATTTCAGGAGCTGAGCTTTTTACAGAGACAGTTTTCACATGTTTTATGTTGTAGATAAATTATTTATACATGTAATACATTGAAACTATTTAAGCATGTTTCAATTGTTTAAAGCAAAAACATTGTAGTTGATTTTAATATAAATAATGATTTTCAAACTGTTTTGGTTAAAGTTTGGTCTGTTGCAGTATGACATCATCAACTAAAATTTTATAACTAATCATATAAAATAAATTAATATTAAATATTAGCCACACGTGTCTTGACAAAAAATTTACTAAAAAAAGCTGTAAAAAATAAAAATTATAGATAGCTTATGGCTCAGGTTCCACATCTGTGGAATTGTTTTGCAGAAATAAGGGAAATATCTGTTTATAATGAGCACAGGCCTCAGGGGATTGCATATTTATTACATAACGCAAAAAATTTTTCTCTCTCCGTGTATACATGTGGTTATTTAAATACACATGAGTGTATGTCTACTGTATTACTGTGTGTCTGAACAGAAAGTGTGTTTATGGTTCAAAGGTTTAGATATTTCCACTTTTATTAGGTATTATTTATCAGCACAGTTTCATGTATGTGTGTGTACAGGAGTATATGCGTATTTGAATGTGTGTGTCCATTTCTGAGTTAAAGGCACAATGCTCTGATTATAAATATTCTATGCTGCAGCACTTCCTGTCAAGCAGAAAAAGATAAAGAGCACATCACAGGGACCCTTACGCAGTGTTCGCCATTCCTTACACACTGAGAAGGGAATATCTGAAGAGTTCAAAATGCATTCATTTGGAACGGCATCACTTTATTCATGCACATTAGGAGTTTGATGACATCATATGGTAAATTAAATATATAATATGAATTATAATGTTTCCATATAAAAACATATATACTACATCCTAGTGTAATTCGATAAAATGTAAATAATACAAAATATTTAAATTTTGTTAAATTAATTGTATTTAAAAAAATAATATGCTCTATTTATTTGAGTAAAAATACAGTAAAACAGTTATAACAATTTCAAATAATTTTCTATTTAAATATATTTTAAAATGAAATTTATTTCTGTGATGGCAAAGCTGAATTCTCAGCAGCTTTTATTCCAGTCTTCAATGTTACATGATTCTTCAGAAATGATTCTAGTATGCTGATTTGGTGCTCAAGAAATATTTATAATTTTATAATCATGTTAAAAAAATTTTTTTTTTAATACATTTGGAAATTGTGATACATTTTTTCACAGTCCTTTAATGAATAGAAAAGTTCGGAAGAACAGTATTTATTTGAAATAGAAATCTTTTGTAGCATGATAAATGACATAAATGTGCACCCTTGCTGAATAAAAAGTATTAATTTCTTTAAAAACAAGGGTGTATAATTACACTGCACTGATGTTGTCACAGCGATGATGTTCGCATTATACAAATGCTGTTTGCAAACTTTACACACCAAAGCTCGCTTTCACACAGAGAACCAAAAGTGAGTGTTGATTCTCTTTATAATGCAAATTAGTTCGCTCTCTGTGGGATCCTAAAAGTGACTCACTTCATTGTATATATTCTAAGTAGGATATGTTGCCACTGTATAGTAGTACACGGCTATAATAGCAATATGCATGTGAGGTTTTAACATAAATACTAAAGATCAGTTCTTTCATTAAAAAAGACCCACTTTTAGACGATATAACAGTGTGCAACTGAAAAAATGAAAGGACTTGGAAGGAACTTTAAAGGCACAGGAAAATTGAAATGACTTTGTTCTGTTTAATTTTTAATAAAGAGGAGAGTGAAAGGTTTGCACTGTAGTATTTTATACACTGTATACACTGCACTGTATTTTATATGAAATTGCACAGAGTGTGTGTATGCATTTGTGTGTGAACAGAGGTGGGTTTAAGGATGGGACTACACCGTCTCCAGAGACCCATCCCAACAGCACTTAGAGATGCGGAGTGGGTGGAATGCCTGTAAAATACCATGTTTAAAATGACCCCAGAGAAGATGACGGCTCATTGAAATTGCAGACGGATCGGCAGGTCTATGCACGTACACACCAGACGTACACATACAGCACATGTATTTAATTTCCCATGTGATTTCACGGCAGCAAAATACACAAGCTAATACTTTTCCAGACTCACTTGAGTGTGGTCATCTCGGTGAGGGAGGGCTGGGTGGCTTTCAGATAGCTGGCTCTCCGGGCCTGGACTTTCGGTGACGGTTTAGGGCTGCAGTCCGAGTCTCCGCTGTCCTCCTCTGCCATAGCCTTGATGTAGCTGCCGCTCCTCATCCTCCTGCACGGGATCTCGTCATCCTGACCCACAGACGAGAAGCCACCCCACTCATCCTGAGGAACCTGCAGAGAGTGAGAGAATGTTAGCTTCTCATAAACACCTGATCTGCCTCCAACAATTAATAATAACGACATAATAATAATAACGATAAAGCAATAAAGCAGTTCATGATGTAGACAGATACTAGAGAATTAATTTGATAATAAATTAAATAAAATGATTAGATAATATAATGTAATTATTAATATGTTTATATATAAATGTGGTTGCAGTGTTTAAGTATTATATATTATTATTTATGAAT